AATAGTGTTCAATGTTTCAGATTTATGAATCTGCAACAGGTGGCTTTGATGTGTGAAATTTGGCAATAACCAAAGTCCCATAATTTTTATTTTTTTATTTTAATGTAAAGATTAGGACTGATAATGGATGCTGTCATGATTTTAAAATGGTTCATACAACCATAGGTTGTAGAGAGCGACGGTTTACACATCCCATGATGTTTATATTCTTGTTTTGTCACCTTTTTATATATTCTGATATCGATTCAGTTTTAAATTAAAATTGTTCCACAGATTTTCCACAGATCCTCACATTTTCCCACCAAAATCAGTACGAAGTCATCAGGGCCTGGTTATTAAGAGACATGTTAAACTGAAAGATGGGACCAAACGTATTGTGTGGGAGGCCAAATCTTTAAAACAAAATCACAATCATTTCACTATCAGAAATATTTGTTAAAAAAAAAAAACGTTTAATTGTAAATCCAAATGTATAGAATTTGTGTGTGTGCCTATGCATTGAGTGTGTTTGTGGTTTTGAGTAAGCGAGTCTCATTTTATGATGGAAGTGTGCGACACTGATTCTTATAATGTGCAGTGGCCAGTTGCTATTGATATTGCTGTTGTATCTAAAATAAAGGGACTACTGCAGCAATACATTTGTAAAGTGTAGCACATGCATATTTTGGTTGCCTTAATTCTTTTTTGCCAACCTAATTCCTATTGTAGTTATAAAATATTCACTGATTCAGTCTTTCTTTTCTGGTTCACCAATGATAGTGAGAATTTGTATATAGATCTTTAAATACATATAAAGTATATTTTAAATGTTATTTGAAGTTTTCTTTTGTATTTTATTTTGCACAAGTGGCTTGCAAAAGGTGTCCTAGGTCCACACGAACCCACCCATTCTTCCAGCATCGAGGACATTTCCTTGCGTTTGAGTCTAGGATGTTTCTTTGTGTACACTTTACAGTTTGGATTGTAAAGTCTATACAGTCAAAGACATACAACTGTATCAATCGTTTACTCTTCCAACAGTTGAGCTGTGTGTGCGTGTGTGGTCAAAAAGCTGTGTGCCCCCCTAAATAGCAAAAGAGCATGATGAAATGTGAGTCTATTTACATTGATGTACAGCATAGACATTTATCTCTATAAAAAAAAAGACCACAACCCATGTGTGTACATTTGTTCAGACACAAAATAAATACAACTCTTGGAAGATTCTTGTGGATTTTTTTAAAAACTATTTGTCCTTGTACCATTCAGATTTTTCCAACAAACTTATCACAAAATCCGCAGATATATCTCACAAATTAAATGATTTCGCACCAGGTTTCAGGTTGCAAAGGACTTTTATGGAGCCAATTGGATTTAATACCAGCAAAAAAAACAAAACAGCAAACCTTAAATTGTCTCACACACTGCAAAACAAAAAATTAGAACAAGTTTTTCTAAAGCCATTTATCTTAAATTATTTGGATAAAATCATCTACCAAATAGATGTTATAAATACAATATAAATACATAGAGGATAGTTTAAAAACTTTTAAAAAATTGCTCCAAAAACGTTTTAATTTGGGTTGGTGCAGCTGTGTAACATGGAAATAGTTGACCACCAAAATTCATCTTTAAAAGAAATTTATGTACATTCCACAACTGTCAACACTTTATGGGAATGTTTATGCCCTGAAATGAGAGTTAAACACTTAACTATATATATACATATGAGATATAGTTTTATACTAGCAGAACCAAATTGCAGAGAGTACCACACAACACCACTGCTCAAGTTCTCAATGTTGAGATTTATTAGCAAACCTTTAACAAAGGCAATTTCTTTGAAAGCATCACAATAAAAATTGGGGAGAAAAAAAACATTTGGTCTCTAAAAGTCAAAAGCATAACTAAAAGTGTACCATTCGGCACAATACAAATATGTAATGAACTAATAATTTGGAAACCATAGAGGGGTGGAAGGAATCAGAAGGCAAAAAGGACGATTATGCATTTCTGTCAATCCTGACGTCAATCTCTCGTCCGCTGAGCCGGTAGCCGTTCATGGTACGACAGGCTCGCTCGGCAGTCTCGGGACTGTCAAAGCGCACCACACCACAGCCCTTGGACTTGCCGTTCTCCATCTTAATGTCTGCATACTGCACGATGCCTGTTAGAAAACACACACAAGCCATATCGATTAATGAAACGGAGCAAGAAATGCTAAAAGAAAAAGTCTGATGGGAAAAAGTCTTTACCACATGAATTGAAAGTGTCCTTCAACATCTTCCAGGTGAAGTCAAAGGGCAGCTGCAAAAATAGACAATTACATTATGAATGAGAGGAATTTTTTTTTAAATATTCATTTTCAAAAATTTGAAAAATTTAAGATCAAATGCTTACATTTCTGACAAAAATCTGGCATCCCTTCCTGGCATTAGCTCCACCAGCCCCTGGCCCTCCTTGTCCAGACCCACTGAAAGGAGTCCCGAAGTTGCCACGATCCATATCAGCCGGTCTGTCAAACTGCCCACCGACGCCACCAGAGCCCATCCGGTCCATGCTGGAACCCATGCGGTCGAGACCTGAGGAGGGGAAGCGGTCCATGCCACCGGAGCCCATGCGGTCAAAGTTTGAACCCATTCGGTCAAGGCCCGAGTTCATCCTGTCCATGCCTATAGGTGAGGCAAAGTCCATCCCGCCAGTCATGCGATCCATGCCGGACGCGCCCAAGCGGTCGAACCCACCAGGGCCCATGCGGTCCACGCTGGAGCTCATGCGGTCGAGGCCTGATCCCAGCCGATCCATACTGGGCCCCAGCCGGTCAAGCCCTGAACCCATTCTGTCAAAACCAGATCCCAACCGGTCCAGATCAGACATGCGGTCCATGCGATCCATTCCCATCCGGTCTAGGCCTCCCATGCGGTCCATGCCACCGCCAAGCCGCTCCATGCCAGAATTCATGCGATCAATTCCCACGGAGTTCCCTGGTAATCAAATTTTAAACAAATAATTTAAAAGTTAACATTATGTAACTATATAAGAAATGTATAGGAGCAAATGTTAAACATTACCAACCCATTCCTCGGTCAAAAGTATCTCCGAAGTTGCAACGGGACATACCCATATCATTACGGGCACCGAAATCTCTATCAAAGCCACCGCCAATTCCACGATCCATATCTGCAATAAAAATTTTTAAAAAGTCTCAATCTCAGCTGCTAGCAAAATGGAAAAAAATAAACTAGTTAATGCATTTACCATTCATTCTTCCCATTCCAGAGGGTCCGAAACGATCCATGTTGTTCATACCACCTCCAAAATTATCCATCCCTGAAGATCAGTAACATTTACATTCAATTCATAGTGAATTAACAAGGAAATTTCATAATTCATAGTAGATAAAATAAGCAGCAAATTTATAAATTATCTTCGTTTTATTTTTCCATCGACAAAATAAGCCAGGGGGAAAAAATGAACATTTGATAGATAAAGCAGTTTATGAAAAGAAAAAGAAAAAAAAAGGGCACCATTAAGATAATTTATAGTAGACAAAAGTAGAATTTTCTAAAAATAAAAAAATAAAAATAATATATATA